CCCCAAAACCCCAAAACCCCAAAACCCCTATTTGTCAAGTATTATTGAATATTATTAGATATGAAAAAATCCATCATTGTAGTCAGAGCTATCCTACTCCTTTCTCTACTTGAGTTATGAACTGCTAGTGGCTGTGACACATTAAGGATCGGAACCGAGAAAGGAGCTACTAATGTCATGCTAAACGGCAAACCGACTGAAAAATATGTACAATTCCGAAGAATCAGAGATGAGGATGATGTTGAAGTCAATGCTAGAACAGATGACAGCTCACTCTATCTTTCAGGAATCTCCTTAGAAAATGAACCTGAGATTGGTATCCAAGTTGATCGAGAGGCTCTTGCTTCTGTTAGCTCAAAAGTCTCAGCCATTGGAGATAATAAAGATCAATTTAAGATTGATCTCACCTATAAATGCACTGAAGATTTAAGTGGAGTAACTGATGTGTACATAAAATTCACTCTTGATGGCGAGAAATGCACCAAAATAGGTAAGAAAATAGCAAAATTTGCTAAAAAATTTTATGGAAATTTCTAGATCATTTTTATCAGTTTTGATATCAATTTCGAAAGAAAATACAGATCAATTTATTTATAGGCATTAGGAAGAAATGAGGTACCAAATATGCATATGCTCCAATAGAGATCTCTGAGACATCTTACTGGGGATTAAAGAATAATATTCTCACTGATAATGGAGGTGCTTCCAACCACCCTGAAAACTTGTTTGATAAAAGTGGAGATAACAATGTGATTAAGAAGAGCAAAGGATATCTTAACTTTAGAGTCAAAAATACTGCCCCTACTGGGTCAGGAACCAGCATTGAAATGGACCCTCCCATTGTAAGGGTCAAGAATGAAGCTAAGAATGTTGTCTATCCAGTCCTAAGAGGAGCAGGTGCAAGATATCATACTCTAAAACCAGGAGAATACACAGATTTCAAGTTAGAATTTAATTGTATCAGTCTTGACGCAGAAGCTGAAACATTAGAACTTCAATTCAGACCGTCTTTCCATTCAAACTATGTCTTCAAAGTAACTAAGGAATGAGAAGGGCTGACTACAACAGGATTGATTAAGAAGAAGTTCCAAGATTCGCTTGTGTTTGACTTCTTCTTCCTTCTATTCATCAGTATAATAGTTCTTCTGATGTTGACCATCCTACTACGTATTTACGGAAATTATCAAGCCAGGAAAGGGAATGATTCCATTAAAAACTTCTTCAAGAGCGTCTCGAGTAGGGTGAAGTCAGGTCTACAGAATGAGGAGGATACCCAGCTAGAGATGGATGAGATAGAAGATGCTCATATGGACACTGACTACGAGTTCAACCCTGATGACGTGCTTAACACCAACCAGAACAATAACGATGATGATTTTGGAGGTGAAGTAAAGGTCGAATTTGGAAGAGACCAAGAGAATCAGCACAATCGCTAAGTTTTGTAAGGAGTATTGTTTGACAAAGGAGGGGATTTGTTGGCAGAAGGGTTTTCAATTTAGTGATTTGAGGAAGGGGTTTTGGGGTTTTGGGGTTTTGGGGTTTTGGGG